CCATAATGCATCAATGAAAAAGAAGAAAAGGAAACCTTCCCTGAGCATTCACTATGTGTAAAACACAGGCGTCTGTAAATCTGAACCAAACCGACTCCATCAGGGAGTCGACGGAGCAGAGAGAGGCGATGCACTCAGGTGAGAGCCAAGGAAGCCTATGGCATTCCCACTGGTCACACTGCAGGGCTGTCCAAGTAGGTGAACCTTCCTTCTCCAGCTGCTCTGGCCAGCCAGACCCAATCAAAGACAATGACAACCATGGTGACAGCCCAAGAACATTTGCTAAATGCAAACAATGGGCAGGCACTGGACTAAGGCCTTGCATTCCTTCACTTAATCCTTGGGACAATGTTTATTATAGGTATAATTATTGTCTACATTTTATGATTGTGGAAATTAAGGCAAAAAGTATTGAGTAATTTGCCCAAGGTCACAAAATCTTGTTTCTGCTTTGTTCTTCTCCTCTGGGAAAACCTGCCCTCTGCCCAGGGGGAACTGCCCTTTCCTGCCCCAGAAGGCCCTTACTCCAACTCAGAGCTGGCCAAACTCCACAAAAGGAACTCCAGGGTCAATCAGAGACCTTTCTGGAGGAACAAATGCAGGCTGCCTCCCCCACCCACCCTGGGGAAGAGCCCCTCAGCAAAGGAGAAGAGAGCTCCTTCCCTCCCCACCCCATTCACAACCACATGGAAAGAAAGCAACTCAATACAAAGGAGCCAAACAGTTAAACACGCAGCACACAGCCAAGTACAACATTCCCTTGAAAAAGCGAGCAACATCACTAGTCATCTGGGAAATGCCAACTAGAACCACAATGAGATTTCTCTAAACATCTATCAGAGGGGCTTAACCACAAACTGAACAATTCACAAAACCAAGTACAGCACAAAGACTGAACCTTAATGTATGAAATTTTAAAAATAAATTTGGAAAGCCAGGCACAGTGGGATACACCTGTACTCCTAGCTACATGTGAGGCTGAGGCAGGAGGATCCCAAGAGGCACCAGCATGGGCAACTCAACAAGACCCTGCCTCAAAATAAAAGATAAAAAGGGGTGCGGCTGTAGCTCAGTGGTAGGTAGAGCACCCCAGGTTTCAATCTTCAGTAAAAAATAAATAAATAAATGACACTTGATCTTGGTAGTCTTCCTAGTGTATTCAGATTTCCTTAGTTTTTGCCTAATGTCCTTTTTGTCTTTTAGGATCTTAATCAGGGTACTATATTATATTTATTATGACAGTTCCTCAGACTTCCTGCTTTTTTAAAGTTTTTTAAAATTTTTTTGTAGTTGTAGATGGGCAGAATTTGTTTATTTTATTTGTTTACTTTTATGTGGTGCTGAGGACTGAACTCAGAGCCTCACGCATTCTAGGCAAGCACTCTGCCTCTGAGCTACAGCCCAACCCAATTTTCCTGCTTTTGGTACAGATTTTTCCATCCTTTGATACTGGGGATTGAACCCAAGGTACTTAACCACTGAACCACAACCCAGCCCTTTTTATATTTTATCTTGCGACAGGGTCTTGCCAAGTTGCTCAGGGCCTGCTAGGTTACTGAGGTAGTCTTTGAACTTGCCATCCTCCTGCCTCAGCCTCTTGAGTTGCTGGGATTACAGGCTTGAGTCACAATACCCAGCTACCCTGATGTTTTAAGGAGTGCTGGTCAGGTGTTCTGCAGGGTGCAACTCAATTGGGATTTGTCTGATATTTTACTTATTAGTCTAGGGTTGTGGGTTTCGGGGAGGAAGACCCTGAGGTAAAGTGCCCTCCTCTTCACAGGTCAAGAGCACATATCACCAGCACAACCCTTACTGTGGTTAGCCTCTGTCACTTTACCTGTCAGGTTTCAGGTTTCACCACAGAGTCACTCTTCACACTCTCCATACTGTACTCCTTTTTTGATACTGGGGACTGAACCCAGGGGTGCTTTACAGCCCCAGTCTTTTTCGTTTTATTTTGAGACAGGGTCTCAGTAAGTTACCAAAGCCAGTCTCAAACTTGCAATCCTCCTGCCTCTGTCTCCCAAGTCACTGGGATGGCAGGTGGGCACCGGTACCGTACTCTTTGGGAGGTAATTGCTATGCGCAGTCTATACCTGGCAAGTGGAGAGTTATGTTTGACTTTCTTGAGGGAGGAGTATCTACATAAATTATTTATATATATATATTTTTTTTACCTAGGAGATAGTCTACATCCTCCATTTACTATTCATTTAGTTAATCAAATGGACTCAGGGTGGACTTACCAATATTTATAATTTAGGTATACAAATATATATATTCCATAGTTTGTTGTTTGTTTGTTTTTTGCAAAAACTATTCTAGCATTGACCCCTGGGACTCTTTTAACTGGCACCCATATCTCTTTAACATTTATTTATTTTAAACTTAAAAAAAAAAAAATCTTCTCTTCCCAGCCTGAGCAGATCTCCGCAAGGACGGTGGGCCTCTAGGTGTCCCTGACATCCTGTGGACACACCGCAAACAGGCAAAGGCAGTACCGAGCAGGGGATGAGGAAGGGAGGAGAGGCCTGGTTCCTTGGTGTGCTCCCACCTTCCCTCTGGAAGCCTCCTCTCACCTTCTCAGCCAGGAGGCTGACAACAAAGCACCCAGCTTCAGCAACAGGGTTTGGTGATGGGACAGGCAGGGGACCCGGTTCAGAGCCAGCTGGACTCCCTTGCCTCCACTGGATTGGAAAGGCCAGGGCACGGCTGAGTGGTGGAGCACTTGCCGAGCACGTGAGGAGTCCTGGGCTCCACCCCAACTCCTCACAACCACCCACTGGAGCTCCTAGAGCCACTGCTGGACCTGGAGGTTCTACCAGGGAGCATAGCTACTCACGGAGTCCTGACCGAAAGACGGTCCTCCTTTATCAGAGAAGGTAGTCCTCATGCACTGGGCGCACGGCTTTGGGAGGGGCACACGTAGAATAGTAAGGGAGGGAAGGGACACCCATCTAGGCAGTCAGATCAGCTGAGTCTACCCAAGCCATCAATGGGGTGACAGATGTCACAGGACATCACCCTCACATCCTAGAGCCACCGCTGGGAGGAACAAGAGTAGAGCTGACCCAGAGAGGTCAAAGCCATGTAGTGCTTAAAGGCAGCCCTGCCCTGCTAGAGTTACAGGAGTCTCACTCACTCTGGTTTGGGTTTTCTGTTCCTCGTAACTAAAACAGCCCTCACCACTCCAGTTTCACTGTCTGTATTTGTATCGTGGACAGTCAATGGAGGTGAGGGGATGACCACTGAGCTATGTGATACCAGGAGGCTGCACAGAGACCCGAGTCTCCTTCTCCATCTTACAGGGGAATTGAGGCTCCAATCAGAAAGAGAAAACAGACACTTCTGATTACTGAACCATCAAGTGACCCTGCACAACCACTCACTGTCATCATCCCAGGCCAACAAAGGGCACTGAGAAAAGAAGTTGCAACCCCCAAGTCCCCCCCACCCCCCAGGGATCTTGTTAAACATCCGTCCCTCACTGTCAGGCCCAATGAACTCGACCAGCCAAGAAACAGCCACAAACACAAGTCTAACCTGTTAGGACCTGGGAACCATCCATTCCATTATAGAGTAAACCTACACTACGAGGTCAACAAAAGTGAGAGGTTTAAACCAAGAAGGTCCCATCGTGAACCTGGGACATGAAGCTACAGGCTGCCATAGAAATGATTTCTTTTCTTTCTTTCTTTGTTTTGTACCAGGGATTGAACTCAGGGACACTCGACCACTGAGCCACATCCCCAACCCTATTTTATATTTTATTTAGAGACAGGGTCTCACTGAGTTGTTTAGTGCCTCACTTTCGCTGAGGTTGGCTTTGAACTTGTGATCCTCCTGTCTCAGCCTCCCAAGCTGCTGGGATTACACGCGTGTGCCATCGCACCTGGCTTAGAAATGATTTCTACCATCATCAGACCATGCTCCCTCTGACCTTCACAGGCAGAGTCCCCAAGCCAGGGTTGTGTACTTCCTACTGACACCATGGGCAGTGGTCACACACACTGAGCCACCAGATATGTCTCTTATTTCAGCAACAGTAAAGTTCACATTAAGTTACTTGGCTGCTACATTAAACTAAAAAGAAAACTGGTAGAATGGTATCATCGCTGTCAAAGAGAAGGTAGGAGAGCTCTATTCCCTGAACTTCACTTTACCTCCTCAAGAGTTTCAGCAAGTCCAGCAACAACCAAAGCACAACGTAAGAAGGACAGGCACACTGTCCATTACACAGCAGGAAAAAACACCTAGAGATGAGCTACTCTAGCTTGTTTATGCTCCAAACGACAAGAGCAGGGTTGCAGTAAGCAGGTTTCCAGTTTGAGCTTAACTAGAGAAACTGTTTTTTTCTCATTAACATAAGTGCTGAGCCCAGAGACAGTTTATGGAGAACAGCACAGCCCGGAAAGAGCAGTAGGCTGGGGTCAGGAGGCCTGAGAGTTCTAATCCATTGTTGATCTATATGAACTAAATAACTGAAGCATTTGACCACCTTTTGTAAAAAAAAGATCAAAAAGTACTGCACTTTTTACTTGAGTCATGAGAATAAAGTAGAACCTAACACATCTGAAAAAATTAGGTACAGGATGCAAATATTAAAACAGTATGGGTAATTTTGATGACTGAACACTCAGCCATACTCAGCTGTTCTCATGTCCACCCATGGGGAAGAAGCAGATGGCCAGTCACGTAACACCTCTCCACGGTGTGCAAGTAGCCCAGGTATGAACCCAGCCCCAGCTGGCCACCCTGAGGTTGAAGGCAGATCCCAGTTTTTCTAGGACAGCCAACTTCTGCGTCACTTGGAGCTTCCTTTCAATAAAGGTTATTCATTAAGTGTATAACTAAATATCTCTGGTGCCTTCATGAATCTGCTCAGGTACGGTGAACGCACGAGTCCCAGGCTGACCACACCGGCTCTGGCTTGTGGAGCCCACCCTGGCCAATCAGCGGCCGGCCCACGGTCTCCCCAGAGAGGACGGGCCAGCACCTACCCACTCGGGCTGCTCGCAGGGCTCTCCTTGTTTGCGGTCAGAGTCCGCGGGCGGGGGCGAGTAATCCTTCACAGGAGTGGAGAACTCAACAGGTCCTGTTCCCGGCAGGGGGAGCTTCAGCAGTGGGTAGCTGCGACAAAAGAAGAGGAGAGAGGAATGAGGATGCAGGGCGGGCAGAGTCAGCAAGACCTTGGTGACACGGGACACAGCAGCCTGGGCTAGGCTCTCTCTGCCAGGAGGGCCACACAAGGGCACAAAACACTAGAACGGCCAGAAGTCACTAAGGCTGGGGTGGTCCCAACATTCCTGACACATAAAGCCTACAAGGAAGTCCAGTTGATAGACTGGTTGAATGTTCTCAGAGACTAAAAACAAACGAACAAATCCATCAAATAACACTTAATAATGGGTAGGGGTGCTATAAAAATTCAGATGGATTCTGATTCAGATAGCTGAGCAACTGCTCCCCTTAAAGGGACAGACGTGACAAGGTTGTGGGTGACATCAGACCAAGTGGACACATCTTGTGCAAATTAAAAACTGGCCCTGCAGCCAGGCTCAGGGTGGCACACGTCTATAATCTCAGTGGCTCGGGAGGCTGAGGCAAGAGGATCAGGAGTTCAAAGCCAGCCTCAGCAACTTAGCAAGGCCCCAAGTGATTCAGCAAGACCCTGTCTCTAAATAAAACATAAAAAAAAAAAGGGCTGGGGATATGGCTTGGTGGCAAAGCACCCCTGGGTTTAATCTCTGGTACCAAAAAACACACACAAAAACAAAACAAACAAACAAACTGGTCTTGCCTTGACAAATAGATGTGCTATTTTGTTTTAGGTCTCACTTAAAAAAAAAAAAAACAACTTTTTAAAATTCACAAATAACTTGTATATAGCTCAGTGCACAAATGTTATATGCCAAGCACATGCTTTACCGCTGAGCTACTGCCTCAGCCCCAGTTTTGCCTATTTTTGAATGTCACGTAAGTGAAATAATCCATTCTACTTATATATTCTTTTATGATTAGTTGCTTTCACTCAATGATTCCTCCACACTGATACACACCATAGATAATTTTCTCATACACACACACACACTCTTCCACTGACTGAATATATTACAGTGCATTTTCTACTCCACTGTCAAGAAACATTTTGTTGTTTCCAGTTTGAGCCATTAAGGGCAAAGCTATTATGATCATGCTTATTAAATATGGCTTTTGGAGGCCATAAGTTCTGATTTGTGCTGGGTCTACCCCAAGAATGGTTTCCAAGACCTGCAGTGTATGTGGTTAGGTTAAGACACTACCAAAGTTTTCCAAAGCAATTGTACAAACTTATGTTTCCAGCATCACAGTGTAATAGGGGTTGTGGTTGCTCCAAATCCTTGCCATCACTTAATACTGTCAGTCCAGTTAATTTTACCCATGTGTTGGAGGAGACAGTCACATCTCTGGGGCTTTCTTTTCAGTGCTGGGCAGAGAACCTGGAACTTGGTGCGTGTGAGGCAAGCACTCCACCACTGAGCTGCACCTTCAGTCTCACTGTGGCTTAAATGTATATTTTGCGGAGAAGAAACAATGCTAAGAATTGTTCAGGGCTGGGGTGTGGTTCAGAGGTACAGCGCTCGCCTACCATTGTGAAGCCCTGGGTTCGATCTTCAGCACCACATATAAATAAATAAAAATAAAGATATTTAAAAAATTAAAAAAAAAAAAAAGAATTGTTCATAAGCTCACTGGCCACTTGGCCTCATCTGTGAAATCTTCTCATCTTTACCCACCTACATTTAAAAAACATTAAGTATGTACTACATGCTGGGCACTGGGAATACAAAAAAATAACACTACAATCTGTCTCCAAGATGCTCTGATTAGGAAGGAAGATTCTTTTAAACAATTATGATAGAATGTGATAAAAATTAGTTTAAGGGCTGGGGATGTGGCTCAAGCGGTAGCGCGCTCGCCTGGCATGCATGCGGCCCGGGTTCGATCCTCAGCACCACATACAGACAAAGATGTTGTGTCCGCCGATAATTAAAAAATAAATATTAAAATTTTCTCTCTCTCTCTCAAAAAAAAAAAAATTAGTTTAAGTTGTGATTACCAAGTTTGCATAGCAAAACATAGGATGTGGTCAGATTTTGTTCTCCTTTTAGAACATGCATATGTTATTTTGGAATCTGCTCTTATTTTTAGGCTATGCAAGTAGAAGCCCAGAGAGAGGTTGAATAATAATAAGGGAAAACTCTTATATGTCACTTGTATGCTCCAGGAACTAGTGTAAGCACTTTCATATATTAGCTATAAGAATACTTCTCCAGGGGCTGGGGTTGTGGTTCAGTGGTAGAGCGGGTGAGTCACTGGGTTAGATTCTCAACACCATATATAAATAAAATAAAGGCCCATCAGCAACTAAAAAAATATATACATATATTTAAAAAGAAAAACAAAGAATACTTCTCCCTAGGAGGTGAGTGCTATTATAATACCCATTCTACAAATGAGGCACAGAATGATTAAGTCACTGGTTGAAGGTCACGCAGCTGAGTCAATCAACTTAGTCAGGTTTTCAACTCAAGCAGTCAGCTTCAAACTACGCTAAACATGGCCTGTTTCTTGAATGATTAAAAGCATCCATGGATTCCAGGAGTCTGCACACTCCAGCAGAAGGAGACCGTAAGGTAGCACACTTCAGTGTCCACTTCCTAGAACAAAGTCTCTTAGAAATCCAGGTTTTTTTTAATATGTTCTTTTTAGTTATACACAACAGTAGAGTGTGTTTTGACACATTATATGTACATGGAGTATAACTTCCCATTCTTGTGGTTGTACACGATGTGGAGGGACACTGGTCGTGTATTCATACAAGAACACAGGAAAGTTATCTCCTGTTCATTCTGCTGTCTTTCCTATTCCAATCCCCCTCCCTTCCCTTCATCCCCCTTTGGAAGTCCACAGGTTTTTTTGTTTGTTTGTTTGTTTTTTAATTTTTTAATATTTATTTTTTAGTTTTCGGCGGACACAACATCTTTGTTGGTATGTGGTGCTGAGGATCGAACCCGGGCCGCACGCATGCCAGACGAGCGCGCTACCGCTTGAGCCACATCCCCAGCCCCGCACAGGTTTTGAAAAGCTTAAAACAACTCAATTCTTCTCCAGCCTTGCCCTAGATCCCACATAACTCCTCGTGGTTTGTCCCCTCTTGCTTCTGAGGCTGTGAACCTACAGGAACATTCCTGCCCACTCTTCCTTGATGGCAACACATTTCAAGGCCCGGGCTGTACATTTCTCTCTCCAGGAAGGCTTTCCCTGTTCCCCAAAGACTGGGCTGGGCTCCCCAACTCCCAGGAGCTGTCAAAGTGCCTGTGCCCCATGTGGCTTCTATGGCTCACAGTGGACCTGCTGTTCCTGTCTGGCACAATGATGATGGCTTCTCTTATGGAGCACCTACTATGTGCCAGTCACCGATGGTGCCTTCCATGTATTTACTCATTCAAGCTGCAGTGCAACCCAACGAGTCCTGCAGAAGCTACATCTAGAAAATGACAAGACCAGTGTGCGAACACAGGCAATCTGGCCCACGTCTGTCTTCTTAACATCATGCTATGCTGCCCTGTACTGTGTTGCTTATTTGAAAATTTTAAGAAACATATATTCCTTTTAATATAGCTATAATAAAAATATCAAGAAAAAGATTCCACAGAAAGATAAAAGGCAAGAGAAAAATCTATCCACAGTGATCACACATTCCAAACCAAAAGGAAAGCCTGGTAGCAAAGTGTTAAGCAGTTTTCAGATGTCAGAAACACTTATCGTGCCTAGATCAGGAATAAAAGACCAAAGACATTTTTTTTGAGGAAGAAGCTACCCAGGAGTTTCTACCACCAACCCCCATGTTGCTTCTGCAAAACTTGTTTCTAAAACCAGATTATATCTCGGTGCACCCTGATCTTACAGGGCAGAGGAAACAAAGCAGTTTTCTAAAACCTCCCCTGCCTTTCCTGTCTCAGGTCCATGTGTCCAGCTGCTCAGCCAAGCACTTTGATCTTAACTCCTTTCTCCTACATCCCACATCTGGTCCTCAGAAAATCCTAAGGGCTTCACCTTCAAGACACATCTGGAATCAACCATGTCTCACCACCTCCATGGCTTCCTCTTAAAGGAAGCAACCATCAACTGTCACCTAGAATCATTCACTGGCCTAGCTTGAATCACTGATTCCAGTCCTGAAATCACCTCCTTATCTCCTAATCAGATCTGGAACTGAAGTCCAAATTCCTATGTGTGGCTTACAGAGTCCACTAGTACCAGGGCCCTCCTCTCCTGCTCTCTTATGACTGGTACCCTTCGTCCCTCATTGGCCACACGCCTTTTTATTGTCATTCCTATATGGCCTATCCCCACAGGGGTACCCAAGACATTCTCAGAAGCTGCTGGTGCCCTACCCTCATCCCCTCTGATCTTTATTTTATTTATTTATTTATTTATTCTTGGGGATTGAAACCAGGAGTACTTAACCATTGAGCTACATCCCCAGCCCTTTTTATTTTGAGACGGGTTCTCACTAAGTTGATTAGGGCCTCACTAAATTCCTGAGGCTGGTCTCAATCCTCCTACTTCAGCCTCCCAAGGAGGAGTATGTCACCATACCTGGCTCATCCCCTCTGATCTTAATTCTGGGCATGCTAGCTCAACTTCCAAATACCAGGACTTACACCTCTTCACCTGAGAGTGTTGTGCTGCCTTACTGTGACTGGTCACAAGTGCTAGGAATTAACACTAGCTAGAAGCAGCCCTCAACCAATGGCTGATGCTGCTAGGTCAGGAGCTGGCAGACAACAGCCCAAATCTAGCCATGGATGCTATTTGTTGTTTTTAACATTCTTTTAGTTACACATGGACATAATATCTTTATGTGGTGCTGAAGACTGAACCCAGTGCCTCTCTCACATGTGCAAGGCAAGCACTCTGCCACTGAGCCACAACCCCAGCCCACGGCTGTTGTTTGTTTATTTTTCATGCTGAGGATTGAACCCAGGGCCTTGTGCATACTAAGTATGAACTCAACCACTGAGCTACACCCCCAAGCCATGGCCTGTTTTTGTGTAGTCTGTGAGCTGATAATAGTTTTCACA